GAGTTACCGCTTTTGTAATTTGAGCAGTCGTTACATGATCCCTTCTAAAAGATTAGAATGATCAATAATAAAGCCCACAGGATAAAGAGATAAGCTCCTCCGACTAAATGGTGTGCATCAAACTAGTAGTAGAGTCGATAAGAAAATTACTTATTTAAGAAGAGTGGGGTGAAGCCTACCAGGCCCAGTTGCCTTTCGTTTCTTCATCGTTAGAATTCAATCGCGCACTTCTAGTTCCGTAAGTGACTCAATTGTTACTGCCCACGGAGTCTCCGTCGCAAGCAGTACTATAACTGCGCTAGCCCCAGGCCAGCTGGACTGTTCGCTGAAATCATATGTTCAAAGAGCTGTTGTTCTTTATTGTGAATGCCTCGTTCAATTTTGTTGTTGATTGTTTCACAAATTTGAGTTCACCAGCATCTGATATTGCCTATCAGTTAGAACCATCTTTAGCTCAACACATGGTAGTGCAACACTAGAGTGACCAAAGCATGGCGTTTCGGATTATTCACAAAACACAATCGTAAGATTGCCAAGGTTGTCAGAGGCAATTGCCATCAGCCGATGGAAGACCTGCTGTTTCAACAAAAAGAACTTTATGTTGGTTTGTCCTTATCCTGGTTACATGGTTCTTTCACCCCCTCCTATGTTTTCGTCTGTTTTAATTTATTTTGCTTTTAGGTGTTATCATACTCAAGTCCCATATTCAAATTGTTTTCTGCAGTGTGCGCCTAGGGGAGATGCAGGGGAATCGTCCTGGACATAAATCGTGCATTACTGCGATATACTCTTTTCTTTTGAGGACTATCTGTGTACATTGCACGATGCAACGGCTAATTCCATTTTACTAGCTATTTTGAACCACCAGATTTTACGCTCCCAGGGGTTTTCATGAGTTGACGTTGCAGGCGCTACGTGGTGATCCTCGCCTCCGAGATACATTTATCAAAGAAGCCACGCCCAAAGATTTAAGTCGATGGATCAGATACCAAAAGTCTCGGCCAATCAAAGGCCACGCAGTTCATACAGGCATCTTGTGACGTGAAGAACATGAAAAATGACTAATTGATGCCTATTTAGCTTGTTATATTTCTATTCACCCTCTATTTACTCCCATTGGTCTTAATAAAGCAACCACGGTTTCCGTTTCTTCATATCTCGAGAATAACAGACGCTAACAACTTCGAAGCTATAGGAATAAGGCTTATAACCCCTGTGGTTGGTGTAAACACTGCTCAGGCCTTTTTAAAGGTAGGAACATCAATCAATCCCCCCCTCCCCCACGAAGGGGGGACCTGCTCAGTGTTTCACATTCTAGAACTTGCAGTTCTTTAAAAAGCTTCATTCCGCCATATTCATTTCGGAGCCCGGCGCTTTGTGAAGGGAGAAGGTTGGGTATGGAAAACAAAGAATAAAAAAGGTTGCGATATTTTAGTAGTAGTCCATCCATCACTACCCACCCCACTCAATGCAACCGATAGTGTGCATCTGATGACACTGCTTGAGGATTGATGCACCATGGGATTTTAATTCACATTTGAATAACAGTTACTTGTGAGTAATGGTGTGGGATAGTCGATATTGATCTGAACCGACTGACTACCACTGAAGACAACACCTGAACAAACATGAATTGACAATTCGGTTCTGCCATGGTATGAGCTAGTTGGCACAGTGGTAATACATACACCTCCTATGTGATAGGAATTCAAAGCCCGGGCGAGACTGTGGATATACACTACTGATGAGCTCCAATATGAGCAAAACCCGGGTCTAGTGCTTCCGAGTGTATGGTTGACTGGAAGAACTGAAGATTGTGCATGAAGGTGAAGTCTGGTCAGTTCAAATCAAGATCGATTATTCCACACCACTGCTCACAATTAACTGAGTCACATGTGAATTATTCATCCAGGATAGCAGGGTTGTGACTAGTCAGCCTGAAACCCGCATGAAAGAACTGATTTGGTGGTAGGTCTTCGATTGGATGATGTATAATTGGCGTAATCATTGGATAGGTACCCCTGGGGAGTCCAACCATTAAGTAGGAGGACGATTAGGGTTCACAACCAAGGCCTTGGACAAGAACCGGACTACAAGGTAGCGGGGTAAGGTGATGTGGAGGCTCACCCGCTTGGATCAATTACTCTTCCATCACACTTTACCGAATGGGACGACAAATCATAATTCAGTGATGCTTTTTGATTACTTGACAACTGCGCTTTTCTTCGGTTTTACTTCCTTTTATTGAATACACAGTGATATTATTTTTAAGAAGGGGGAAGCGACCAATTAGCACGGACGCTGATTTGATGAATAGTTTTGGAGGAGGGATGGGTTGAACCAAGCGGCAAAACACCTCAAGATAAACATGAAGTCCCATAGAACGAAAGCTACTAACGGTATTGTATTATATATATATATATATATATATATATATATATAACACCGGCTTGGTGCCAACGCCATGACAATATTAACAATAACAATAATGAGCAGGGGTGTTGGGGTACAGAGTATAGGGGAAAATGTAGCTGTCAGAATAGGAGATTACGAATGAAAGGAATAACAATTTTTTGGGTGTTTCACCGTACACTTTTTGAATTTTTTTGTTTTTACGGGGTACGGGATTCCGATAGACAGACCGCACAGCATTCGCGCCACTGACTTCTATTCCGAGCCATATCTCTCAGTGTATCTAATCAACGACAATCCTCATCCCTTGGGTCCCAAACTGGAAGGCGGGCTGCAGCAACCGAAGCCAAAGCTAACGGTATTGCAGGTGTTGTAAAACCAGGTTGGTTCAAGATTTAAAAAAAAAACGCTTAACGCATCAAACAAGGAACGGTTGGTGATAAAAGTTCTTTGAACAACTATCGGTAATCCATCGACTGCGACGTGAACGAACAGCAACAAAATGTTGATCATTGGGCTTACGGAACGAAATGCGCAGAGGACTCCCTGACCCTGTGAGCTACACAGGTTGGCTTTCTACGGCCGGAGATTCGATCATGCCTGAAAGGTCAATGGGTAGGGGCCAGACGAAGCTCAGTCTCACAAGGCCAGATGATTGGGCATCTCCTGACTCACCTTGACTACCTACTCTCGCCCCTGGAGAGAGGAAAGAAGCAAGAGAAGCAGTTTACCGGTTACCCCCCGCTTGCTAGATAGAGGTGGGAGCAGGGTACTTGAAGCGTCCTTCCAACGGTGGGAGAAGTCTTCGCACTCCATTGGACAGCTATTGCTGACCAAGTTTGGCAGCCGCAGCCAATAATGTGTTGTCCCGTTCACGTTCGGCTTGTCTTAATGGGTGCATGAGACAAAGGGCCGACAATCAACACATTAGCGAGCGATACACTGAGTGAAAGGTCTCTCGTTCCACTAGGGTGCTTCCGTCACGCTCCCGCGTTAAATCTAGGCTTCACTGCCTTGTGGGTCAGACTTTGAGTCAAAGTGTTCGGTTAGTTTTCCTCAAGAAAAACCCGCAAACTTCCTCTTCTACATGGCACCTAAGACTTCTGAGTAAAAGGCTTTGGTCTGGGTTCCCAAATAAAACCCTTTCGTCGGTGTGGGCTTTAGCGAAGTATGTCGTGCCCCAAAGTATCAGGCAACCATTTGGAAAACCCTCTTTTCCATAGTATAAAATATGCGACATTCCTTCAGCAAACGAGAAAATCTGCCTTAGGATGTCGCGTGCTTTGATGAAGCTAACCGTAGTATTTGATAGAATCGATGGAGGGTTTTACCTTGAAAGAACCTGGTTTTACAACACCTTCAATATCGTTACTAGTTTACACTAGCAGTAGAAACGGAATGCGAGTGGACCATCGAAGGTCGGAGGGGATGTTCCGAAATCAATCAATGGCCCGCAACACTGACCGAATGGAATCCGAATCGGACTGTGATTTTTCTGTCCGTCCACGCTTTTTCGCAACAGTCTCCATTTTTTGTTCATCCTGTTTCAGATAATGATTTGGAAGAAAATGAAGAAAAATTCGTTCAAATGTCTTAGGTGTTAGTTTGTGGAAGATTTGAGTACCTAAATTATCAGAGTGAATCAGAATGACATGATCCGGATCCAATAGACGACAGCTATTAACAGCCCTAACTCCATCGTGACATGACCTGGTGGTTATGAAAAGTGGAAGCTGAATGCGTTTTCGTTGGTCATCTTTTACAAGTTTATTTGATAGGACTCCAGTTCGATGGGAACATTTTCATTTCTTATTCACAAAATACACTTAATACATGCGTGAGTCGATGTACAAAATGAGGAGGCGTCAGAAAAGTATGGGAACAGGGAACCGGACCGAGTGATTCTTTTGGGAATGAGAACGCTAAATACAGCTACCCAAAAGCGTTCGAGAATCTCAACGCAAATCCAAACAAGAAATCAGGGCCAGATCAGCCTGGCGAAATTTCTCAGGCGTGCCCTCTTTGGGGAACAGCATCAACTCGAGCATTTCGATCTCCGTAAGTAATTGGCTCCAATGGGTGGAACCACAGGCCATGGAGCATATTTGTACAAGCCACTGAATACTCTCGCTTGGTCCGAATGCAACCGCCGCATTTTTTGTCTGCGCAGATGGAGGCTGTGTGCCAGATGAATGGTTGTCAAGCGTCCCGTTTTCAGCGCTGTGCGCTGCATGAGGAGGATTCGGTGATTCTGTAGCGGATGCTTAAAAAGAAGGAACATTGTTAGATAACGGTGTCACCAAATGGTGTCTTCAAGTGTCCAAAACAGAATTGGCTACCTTGCGCACATCTGTACAGCTACTCAGTTGCAAAATGAAACAACATAAACGTGTTTGGGTGAATCAGGTGTGACTCGTTCTACATTAAATTGCATATTGTTGTGACTGTATCTTTCTGTCAGGTTCATTAAATCCTATGTAGAATTTTCAGTAAGCAACCTATGTCTATTTGTTCTTAAATATCTCGATAATAAGTGGCTCTATCACCCATAGTGTTCATGTTTCATTGAGTATTCGAAATATTTTTCTGCATCGTGATTACGCAGTCACTGGTTTCAAAACACGAACAACGGAAGTTTGGGTAGCAGTATCACTCTCAGGCCAGTTGTCGCGTGCTGAACAGCTTGAGTCGTTCTCCTGTACAAGTTCTCCACCTCCACAAACCCCTTGAAAAAAAAGAAACAAAGCAACTACACCCTCTGACTCTCGTATTGCCCAGTTGCGATCAAGAATGGAATGAGAAACAGATATCCTGTTGGTTGATTTTCTGTCTAACCGATATAACCGCAATAAACGACCCGATGCGGATTGATACTCACTTCAATGCAATTGGCTCTTGTTTCTATCCGGTGCGCACACAAAACATATAGGAATACGGACAAACACGCACATGCCCAATTAATGGGTCAAACGACAAACCTGCAACAAACTACTTGACCGTGTCAACTACCATTGCTGATACCCCACCCCACCCCTCTCTGATCGAGATGTGTTGAGGAGACGGGATGCAAGGTAAAACTTGAGGGATAAACACACTCCAGACGAACAATATACAGACAGACTTCTGTGGGGTGAAAACACGACTGACGGAATGTGCATTCATCAAGCTGAATTTACCCTTCATCCAACACTTGCGTTAAACGTTTGAAGCATAACGAAAAGGGATTGAACCCTACGGTCCAACTGGAAAGATGTGCATATTGATTGTGAAACCTATACGTAGCTACCATAAATGTTTCATCACGTCCTACAAGTTGATCTACCACTACTCATAATCAGCGTCCTTTAAACAAATTGGGCATGAGAAGATACGAACACAGTTTCAATTTAAATGGGGCTCAGTGAAGACTTAAAGTCGATGATTGGCACTGATTCCGAATGTATACATGATCTATTGTATTATGTTTGACAGTTTTCTTGATCGAGACTGCATACGAGAGAAATCATGGTGCAAACATCTCTGTAACGAAGAAATCAATTCAGGACTAATTTTACATGAAATCCTGCTACATCGAACAATCATAAGCATGACAGTAACTCGGTCGAATAAACTTAGGTCCACAAGGAAGCGGAGTGGTGTGCAAATACCGTGATTCCTATAGAATCAATATCTGGTTGGCTGTTTTCTATGTTCAGAGTGTGCACTTATTGACTTATTGAGTGAACTGAAGTCAGCTTGTATGATTCCTCTGTGCAGTTTTAAATTCCAGGTCTTTAATTACTCAAGATTAGTTACTTGTCCATAGCTCATAAAACTAATCACGGTATCGTGAGGTGGATTCTTATCCGCAATCGTTATTGAGCTCCTCACCGCTGAAGTGTACTGTGAAAGACTTCCTCTCAAATACTTTTCCCGAGGAGAGCATTTCCGGTTGCAAAAACGAGGTTTGCAGAAAAGATGAGTTTTTTAGTGTAATTCAAAGTATTGAATAGGTGACATATTTGAATTCTTATGGAGTAAAGTGGCCATGACGAGCACCTACAACCCGATAGAAAGGAACACATTGCCCCAAATGAGCCTTAGATGGCCAAGCAGAGAAACCGGCAAGCACATGTTGGTCTCTCTTATTCTGCATACGCACGCACGCACACATACACACACACACACATACACACTCACACACCATGTGCTGTAAGCGTATCAAGTGATGAAAACGATCCGAGTTGCTGTGAATTCAATAAGTAGACTATCGGTAAAGCATTCAATCGTAGAGAAAATGTTGTATTGTTAACCTTTATGCTAGGAAATGAATGTATAGTCAGCTTTCAGGAGGGAGGCCGCGGCCATGCAAAGGTTGAATGGAACAATACAGAAATAGGGAAGACGGGCGGNAGCCCGGGACTTCCGGGTCGCAATTTGGTGACTTAACCACTTGGCCAACACCGTAATGAAAAACCATACTACACTGTTTAGACCACCGATCAGCAGTCAACCGTGTAAATACTATAAGCGTGCCACTCGGCAATCTACTCTCAGTTACATCACTCTGAACAAGGCGACTGTACTTATCATGTTGAGTGAAAATATTCGCTCTCTGCTTAGAAGGCTTCAGGATAAATCTTATCTGGTGCAGTTGAAGGAAATTCGCAATTCAAATGTCCGGGAGTCACGGTTGAATGATAGATAGTGAGAATGATTAATCAGTTCAACTGGATGTTTCGACCAGCTTCAGACAAGATACGGGGCGCTGCGGATTCGAACCGGGGAACACACTACTAGAACTCAAGCGCACCACTCATGTGACCAATGGATGGCTGGTCGTCATTCCACCATGTATGGACGATATACCACAATCTATCAGTGGAAATATGTTGTAGGCATTAGGTTTCGATCAGCTTAGCACTAGTCCCCAGGATTGAGAGTTGTGATAAGTAGTCAGGTTTTGGAGATTTTTGATGAACTCCAGTTATGGAATAAACTCGAATGCAATGTACTTTCTACGTGAACTATCTCAGTTACGGCACTTAAAGAAATGATTGCGAAGGCAATATCTGTAAGCAAGATAGACTTACTAGCAACGTCCTTCTCCTCGCTAATGTTTCCATGTTCGTTCAGTGCACTTAACTGGAGGATTTCAGCAAGCTGGCGATCATGCGCACGGATAAATCGTTCGACAGACGCCGGAAGTACGGGCTCGTCACTGAGTTGCACGCGTTTTCGTTTTTCTGTTGCAGAGTTGTCTACGGATACACCGGTCCAAGCGCCTCGAGCGTATATTGGCACATACTGAGACCGACGTTTACCGAATTCTATCCACCATTCAAATAAGGCTTGACGTTCTGGTGGGGATAGAACAACTCCTATTTGGCCATTGGACAAACGACCGAGCGAATTGCTCGTTTTTGGATTAAGCAGAAAATCTAAAGTTGCATTACGAAATGGGCTATGAAATCCGTCTCGCTGTACTCGGGTAAGACACATTTCTGGCATTTGACAATTCACGGCCATCAACGAAGGATTATCGGTCCGGGCGACATCGGGTCTAACAGGTTCCTGTGATTCTTGCTCAACCAACAATTCTCGCAGCGGTTTGCTCAAGGCCGATTTGCATTCAGTCTGACCGCAAAGAACAAATAAAAAAGAGAACACACTGATGAATAAATAGAACAATAATAAAATCGAGTTAAGATAAGTGGTGCAACGGTTACCCTTCCTCCACCCATGCAATAACAAATTTAACTGCGACACTAATGAACTGAAAAATGTCAAAGTTATTCGCGAGCACGGTCTGGGGAGACGTAGGAAACACATTACGGGACTGAGGTATTCCAATTCCACATAACCTGTGGTTCTATAACGATATGCAATTGGTACGTAACTTACCACTGGGTCGAATGACACCAGCGCGCATTCAATTTAGGACGTGGCGATGCTTTAAAAACAGTAACAAAAACAGAGCAGCAGGAAGACAGTTAGCGGTTTTTTAGAACACAATCCTTTAACGTTGCAATTCCGTTATTCGGTTTTCGGGGTCGGGTGACACAGTGAATGTAAGCTACTATAAGCAGACTGCTCGAATAGTCGCAAGCACAAATTCTGCCAACGCCTTCCGTCGGAATCGACCAGATTTGCTCACTCTTTACGGTGTTTATACTTAAGAAGGATTTTCAACAGAGAGCGCCAAAACAAGGATGAAGTACGAAGACAAGTTGCCAATACCGAGGTACCTTCTGTTCCTGTTATATTCCTGGGTCTATGGCGTTCAAAATAAAATAGGAAACCAACTTTTGTCGTAATTCATTTTCATCAGCAGGGAACTATTCGTTATCTGTTTCCCGTGTTTCTATCTGATATAAATCCAGTTTCATCTTTGCGTTTTCTACTTCAGATACCAGCTTTATACAGGAGTCGACAAATAAGCAATTTGAACTGCACTTACCACTCAAACCATTTTGCACCCAGCGGTCGCTTCTTGGTTGTCATCAAACACTGAAACTAACATTTATGCATCTTCTACACACTGCGTGCTTTTGTTTGACAGAGAGATCATACGCTGTGTTTGATTCGCTAATATAAACCACTTGTATCCACTATACAAGCTATTGTTGTGAGATACTACTCACATTTGTGAAGGGTAAGCAAAATGATGCAGTCGGCGGTTTCCTTCAACGATCTAAAATGAACAAGACCTCATAAAGTGAATTGCTGAGCTCCAAATAATAACTACGGACTGTTCCATTCATTACCCGGTGTGCTTCCGATAGTTGTGATGACGTGTTCAAAATGAGATATATTGTTATATGTATGCCAAATTATCGATATCCTAACTGTAATCCGCAATAAACAACTATCCTCATCCAGACCCCGCCTTGTGAGATTATAACGCTATTATTGCTTTCCTTTGTCGCTGTTGGTTCAGATGAGCGTCGTTTTAAAATCATCGATCAGTACAGTTTTATGAGAACTGCGGTTCAATTGGACGAGTTCGATAAGCTTACCGTAAAACTCGCGGTCATTCCTTCGATTGTTGATGAGCTGGCGCTTGAAGGGTTTGTGCGCCGTGTCATAGTTGGCATCAGTAGCAATGGTTCTGCAGGTGTCCAGCAAGGAAAATGATATCAATCGTTTGTGCTTTGGTAGCACGCCCTGAAAGTACGTATTCATATACTAGTACTCGTCATACCTAGATTTATAGTGAGTACAAGTATAAAATGAATAGACAAAGGATTGTCAGACACGCATAAATGGCGAACCGCAAGCACCGTGAAATTGGTTGTGTGATTTTAGAAAATTTTGTCCAGTCATATATATATATATATGCTTGGGAACAAGCTTAGTGCCAACGCAACAGCAATAATAACAGATGGGGGATTGAGATACAGGAAAGAACGAAATGGAAAGCGAAAAAAACAATGAACAAAGCGAAGAATAACAATGTTTCTATCCTGGTATTAGGAGTATTGAAAGACCCACCTGGGAAAGGTCTGACGTTTAGGCGGACGAGAGCAGCACTGTCTGACACCACAGTTCTCAGGAGAGCAGAGCTGTATGCTACTGAGCGCATCCCCAGGTCGCGGATAGGGGAACTACCGTCATCTCCCGGCTAACCGTGAATAAGGTGGGCTTCGGCCTGCCAAATAAGCGGTCGCGGACGATCAGCGGCAGCGCTCGAGGGTATGGTGGGTTTACGCCTGGCAAGGGTTCTCCACACAAAACAACACATATATCTGTGGAGAGCGCTGTGAAGTGGCGAGTGTGGCCCGCTACTGAATATGGCCATTGCTCGACAAAGTTTTCCAGAAGAGGCGAATAAACCGAAGACTGGCCACAGGCTCATCTGGAACATTACTGCTGCCTTGCAGTCTGTGCTTGGTTGCGCAAATGCTAGTGTATCCTCGAACAAGGCTTACTCTGGACGGGGCGACCGACAAGTACAATAGTCCGCAACGCACACAACCCATGAGCCTTGCTCTTACGACTATGTACTCTAATGCTTTCTCATCCTGCAAAAAACATTCTACACCGTTCACACCTTGTTCTCTTAGCCTTCCCCAGCTCATCTTTACCTCCCCAACACTCCTCCATCTCTCTCGGGTACTTCAGACGATCGTACTAACAGCAGTGCCTCGGGCGGCAATTCTGCCGCCGTTCGCTCTTGTCCAACTTCGACTAACAGCCAAGTCTCACCGAATCCTCCACCAGCTGAAACCCTTCTTCGCCCTCGATGCCCCTTCAAACTAGCCACGTTTAATGTGCGTACTCTGATGCGTATGAGACAACAGGCGAGTTAAGCTCGTACGCTCGAGACCCTAGCCATCGATGCGTGTTCTATCCGAGAAACTCGCATTCAAGACTCCAGCTCTATAATGCGATTGACGTCCCCGTCAAACCCATCAGTGGAGTTTCCCTTACGCCTCTCTGGGGACCCTGAGGCTGCGGCTTCCGGTCTCGTTGGAGTCGGCGTGATTGTCCGTGAGAGAGCTGAAGCCGCGCTACAGGATTGGATCCCAGTCTACAGTAGGTTGTGTGCAGTGAAACTCAGAGGTTCGTGCAAGATAAGCAGCCGTCGCCACGATAGACAAAACTTGTTTGTCGTTTCGGCGTACGCTCCAACGGACTACATCCCAGATGCAGTCAAAGATGAATTTTACCACAATCTTCACGACTTCTTGCGTAAAGCGACCCGGGCTGACACTGTGATTTTATCAGGAGATATGAATGCCAGAGTACGCCGGTTGAGGCGCATCTGGGTGGTCCTCTTGGACTAGATTCCTGCCGCTCGGAAAACGGGGAAGGGTTGTTG